CGGCCCGGGGTCCGGCGGCGAGGCGCCCCCCAGCACGGGCAGCGAGAGCGACTGGAGCCCGCGGCCCGGCGGCGAGCACTGCTGCGAGGGCTGCGACGCGTCGGGCTACAGCTCGTCGTGCTACAGCCCCTCGTGCTACAGCAGCTCCTGCTACAGCCCCTCGTGCTACAGCCCCTCGTGCCACCCAGGCGGCCACCGCTTCGCCAGCCACGCCCGCTTCTCCTCGGTGGACAGCGCCAAGGTCTCCGAGAGCACCGTGTTCTCCTCGCAGGAGGACGACGACGAGGAGAACAGCGCCTTCGAGTCCGTGCCGGACTCGGTGCAGAGCCCTGAGCTGGACCCCGACGCCCCCAACGGCCCAGGCCAGTGGCCGGACGAGCTGGCTGGCCCCGGCGCCCGAACCGCGGATGGGCTGGAGTCCCCGGTGGCAGGGCCAAGCCACCGCAGAGAAGGTTAGCCCTTAGAGCCGCCAAGGGGGACCCCGCGGGTCCCACCTGCAAGAGGAAAGCACCGCAGAGGGGTGGGGTCTGGGTGACTCAGGGCCACCGGGCATGCCTGTCTTGTACACACACGTATGTGTGCATGTGTCTCTGTGTATTTATGTAACGTTGACTGTAGCTAGCCGGCGCCCCGTCACACCCCTGATAGGCCTCAAGAATTACACGGAGTCGAATGGGAAGGTGTACATGTTTGTGTGTTTTTCTGGTGGTTTTAACTAATCCGCAGGGCCCGTTAGGGTGCCTTGCAACCCTATTAGTCAAGTATCTGACCTCGTCTCAGGAATGGCCCGGTTTGGTCGGCCAACTCTCCCTGCTGGGTTCGTTGTTTATTATTTTGTTTTGTGTGATGGAAGAAAAGAATGCCGCCCGTTCCTAAATCACTTTCCTTCAAAAGTGCCAGCTTCAATTTAAGATGTGTTCTGTATTTTAACCAGCCTTTCTTCTTAAGCGTGCGTGTGGATGCCTACATTAAATTGATTTGTATTTCTTTAGCCAGGCCTGGGAATCATTTTCCAGTCAAGTGACAGGGAGAGAAGGGGGCGGGGCCCCAGGGGGGAAGGTAAGAAAAGCCACATCATTTTATGAACAAGTCCAATCATTTGCAAGAAGAAAATAGCCCCCCGAATCATGTGTTGTCCCACTGTATAAGTTTACATCCAAACAAAATGTCATGGTATTATCTTTAGATTGTAAGCTCACTGAGGGCCAGAAGTGTGTTGTGTTTTTGTTTTGTTTTTATGTTTTAATTCTCAGCACTTACATACCTGGCACCTACACAGTTTTTGAACTGGAACTAAAGAGAACATTAAAAAAAAAAGGCTTTAAAAATACTTAACCTTGGCCAATGTGACATTTTAGACGCAGGAGAAAAGATAGCGATAGTGGTTATGGATGGGTACCCAAGAGGAGTAAAACTGGGACGGAAAAGTCCCTTGGTCTAAGCGTGTTTTGAGCACCTTCTTTGCTCTTGTCAGATGAGGTACAGCACGCAAAGGAAGACACGGCTAAATCAAGCATCTGTTCTTGCCCAAACCAAAGGCTAGTTGTTTTTTGTGGGGTTTTGTGTTTTTCACTTTGTCACTTGTGGGCACTGAGGAACAGGCAGCAGCCCTGATTTGCAGCTTGCTAACCTGTGGTTAGGTCTTGGGCGATAGCCACCAGGTTGTTGGTACAAACCCACGGTCACTCTGCGGGAGGAAGATGAAGCTGTCTGCCACCCCAAAGCTCCTGGGTCTCAGAAGCCCACTATGGGATTGCTAGGAGGTGTGATCTATTGATGGAGATGGATTTTTGTTTTGTTTTCCACTGGGCAGCCAAGTGGGTAGAGCCCACACGTGATTAATTGAACATATATAAAAGTGTATTTGACAAACCTGGAGATGGTTTGTGCCCTTACGGAGGTGGCAGTTCAGTAGAGAGTAGCAGGAATGAGATTGAGGCTCAGAGTGGGAGTCGGTATGCAGATTTCTAAGTTCCTGCATTCTGTAGGCTGCAAACACAGAAATAGTTAACACATGCCTACATGCTTGACTCTGGTGGTTAACAATGGGAAACAAGAAAAATTCTGGCAGAGCATGGCGTTCATTTAGACCAGCCACCTGTGCGCCCAGGACCTCACAGGTACTTTTTTTTACCTGCCGCAGTGATGGGTTGCTGAGCTCATAGGGAATGTGTTGTGGATTCATCCTTCACTTAGCGCCAGGATTTCTAATAGCATTGACTCAAAAGAAAGCAGGGCTTCGACATAACCATCCTGATAGATGCTTATGTGGGTGTCCTCTTCTTCTGAAATCTATGCCCCCCACCCCCAACTCCTTATTGTGACTTCTTTAAATTGGGAGTTTTTTCCCTATTTAAACTGGGCTAGGTTAACAAAGGTAGACTCCTTGTATGCACGCCCACATAGAAATATGTCATCAGCGATTTATGCAAGAAGCCTTTGTTACCCATCGTTTGCTCCCCTTCCCTGTCTATAGCCCTCCTCTGTTTAATCTCAAATTAAAATAGTTTTGGGCTTCTTTTTTTTAAAATCCTAAAAGTCTAATGAGAACAGTATAATGATGTTGTGGTTATGAGATCAGTCCTCCCATTCCCTACCAATGATACCTTAGCTCAGTTCCCTGATGCCTTTTGTGCCTCAGTTTCCTCATGTATCAAATAATTAGTATTGTAGAACTTACCTCACAAGTTATTGGAAGGGTTACATGAGATAAGATCAATAAAGCATTCTGCCTCTCGCCTCCTGAGCCCCCAAGCTCTGTTAGCTGATGCACTTTTGTTTTACTGGGTTTTTCCAGGCAGATAAGCACTGAGGCTGACTTTTAAGGAAATCATCCAAAGCAATCGTTTGAATTTACATTTTCCTGCACTGCGCTGTTCAAGGAGAAAAAAAAACTTGATATCATTAGATGTCAATCACTTTGCTTTAAGACGGTCTAGCTGACCTGTCCTTCTTGCTCGGAAATTTGATCTATTCTCTATAAGCAGAACAGAACCTAAAAGACCCTCCCATATGTTGAGCCTGAGGAATAAGTTTCCTTCTCAAATGTTCTTGCCGGTGTGAACACCTGCTTTGTGTCTGTGGCAAGGGGTGCTTTTGTGGGACAGTGTCTTTTCGCCGAACCCGCTTGCTTGCATGCTCCATCCATTCAGGTGGCTGAGGTGTGTCGGTCACATCATTGCCTTGGCTTGGGTTTCAAAAGTAGGTGGGGTCTGCTCTATTAACCCCGAGCAAATGACAATATTGTTTTCATTAGCTTGAAGGAGTAATTTACCTGATTAGTTGAATTCATTACCACGAGGTAAGTTTGGTCTTTAAAAAAATAATAATAATAAATGCAGCAGCTGGTGACATAACAACTGAACCATGTTTGGGTTTTGTTTTCATTTCTGATACTAAACACTTCTCAAAACAAACATGAGAGGGCTCTCTTAAGCAAGGTTGGAAGCAGAAGTCTGTCTACAATGAGCTGAGGGTATGACAGGTAGCTTCCTTAATTTTCATTCGGGTCTCAGAGAACCCCAAGGATTTGAGGGGGCACCTAAATGTTCACACAAGAAGTTATAATATTTCACATTCCACATTCCACTTGTTAGTCAGCATTAAGAAATAAACTGCCAAATTAAACCCATCACGCTCTCTTCCTTATTAATTTATTTTTATTTCTCATCAGTTCCATGGCTCTAGAATCTGACTCTGAGACAGAGTAAGAAGAAATCATCTTTTCCCTATTCTATTCTAGGGAAAATTCTTAATTTGTGATCCTACAAAGATAGAAACCACTGCTTTGTGCAATTCCTTTCATTTTTGACCCAAGGGAAGTTGTACCACGTACTTATAGCACTCATAGAAATATAGGCAAGAGAGAAGGCCTTCTTATTGGCCAGTGACCAGTAGGGGCTATTGCAAGGAAACAGGGATCATGAGAGGCTAGGAGGAAACCCACCAGTCTGTCTGGAGTCTCGTAGGCAGCCTGGACCTGTAACTACTCCAAAACGATGATCTCGGATTGTGTGACCCAAAGACCTAGCTAGGGCCTGGCCCTCCAGCCACAGAGCTCCCTTACACACACACACACACACACACACAGTATTTTCTTCCCAGGGCCAAGGGACACCATAAAATAAGAACACCCTTTTAGAACAGGGTTCTAGTTCAATGTAAGTCTGGCACAGGATTGAAAATGTTTCCTTCTGTTATATGAGGTAGCCAGGAGAGTGGACTGGAAAACAGGGTAATAATGTGAGTCATGTCTTCTGTGAATATAAGATCCATTTCAAAAATGTCCCTATGTCTGTTTCTTCCTCCTTCTATTCCATTTCTGTGTTTCAAGCTTTCCTCCTCGATCTACTTTCTTTGTCTCTTGTCCTTTCTTTTCGGCTTGTCTGATTAAATCCTCCTCAAAGGGGACAGTCACTCTGTCTGATAACACCTTGGATTCCCACCCCAACCCCTGGCCTCCACATTGCAGGTTTTTGATAGCCTGAGCATACCAGCTCCTTAACTCCCATCTCGGAAAGGCACCAATCAAAAGTTTCATTACAAATGAAAATCTGCAAGCCCTCTTGGCAGCCCTCTTGTGAAACTTAACCAAATCAGGAGCTGTAATTTAGTACAGTACAACCACACTGTGGTAAATCCTCTTACAGGATCTTGTCAGCATTGCCTAGGCGTGGCTGCTTCACTGGGCCAAGTCAGGCTCTGCTAGTTTTCTCGTATGTAGCTTTCTGACACCACTTTCCCATTAAGAAAACCCAGGTAGTTACAAAACCTGATACGGATCTGCATATTGGTGTCTGGGTGGTCATGAAACATTTACATTTTCTCTCTGGATTTTTTTTCCCCTTTAAATAATCCTCTCTCTTATGAGTGACCATGACTGTGGAGAATTGTTTCTTGTTGTAGTCTGTTTTACAGTCATACTTTTTTTTTTAATGAGTTGCCATAGCAATAAATGAATCTAAATGTCTTGACTATCTTGTCCATAGGTGAATGTCCTATACTCCATAATTCCCAGCCAGTCAGACAACTTCCTTCCTTGAGGCCTGAACATCATCACTACCCAACAATCGATGAGCCTCTTCCACCAAGTAAGCTTTAGTTTGTAACATCTGTGTCTTAACTCTTCCTATCGAGTCTCAACAGGTCAGTATGAATTTGTTGACAAACATCTCAACTCTTCCCCAACTCCACACCTTGCACTGTTATCTAAAACCAATACAGTGCCTGCTATGAATAGTGTCTTTTGATAAATGGTTTCAATACATGATCTTGAAGAGATAACCCAATGTCTTCCATGTCTCTCAACTTCAGAAACAGGGAGCATTTATTTGCAAGACCGACTAGCCCTTGCCAACTATAACCCTCAAGTCCTAGGTTTGACTATTTTATGTTTAGAAGTCTGTGCTTTCAGATAGAATAATCCCGTTGTTCTCCACTGGATCTGTTATGTACCAACCATCTCCATATAACAAGTTGATGTTAACCCATCAGAACACATGCACTTGCCGTTTTATCTTACTAGAGCTTGAATCCATGAGGCACAGCCCACAGGTTCCACGGGTTTCTTCTGCAGTTCTTAAAGGATGCCAAGTGAAATATCCTCTTTAGGAATAGAATTCAGTATTATGGTTCCCCCCATGACTTAGTGTGCAATAAACAGATAACTAGTTATCTAAACTTAGAAAAAGCATTTAATCTCTCAGGAACTCAAGTATTCCCATTTGTAAAATAAAACTTTATTTCACCTCCTCTGCTAAATGTTAGGTTTGGACTAAGCAATCTGAAAAATTTCTTCCAGCATTGACCTTCTCTTTCTCCATTATAATAAACGTGTAAGGAGGACCTTATACCACAGACATTATATATTCACTTAAGACGACATGCACTTATGAATTCGAGAACATCCCTGCTGTAGTTTATACTTACTTTTCAAGCAAAGGTGACCTTTCAAATTTGATAGTTTTACAACTGCAATCTTTCTAGGATGCCGGCAACCAATGGGTCTCTATAATCTTTTCCTTGTGCTTACATTAAACAGTCAGAGTTTTCAGAACAAGAAACATTTATTTCTTAATCCATCTGTTCTTGGTAATAGGACATTTTTTTGGATGAAAGCTACTCTTTTCCCTATGTAACTTTAACCTATGGAAAAACAATGAACTTCTTTAATGCATGAGATAAGTAGAAAGGACACTTTTTTCTTTATCAGGGCCATCCCCCATTCTTGAAAAAGTGTCATTTACAGATGTCTACTTAGACAAAGCTAAGGCATCACAATGTCAAATCCATTGGTAAATGAAAAAACCAGAAGCTCTAGTTTGGAATTTTGTTCATATGGCTTATAAAATGCACGAAGGTAAATTTTTTCCAAAGCAACCCAGAAAACAGGTGCACAATCTCAAATTATAGTAAGCGATGGCTTTCTGAATATTTATAAGGATATGTGAGTTACTAAGCATTACAAATACTTGACACATTGATGAAAGAGTCTTTCTCTGTGAACATTCTATCATTTTTCCTTGAGCGATTTGGAATATTGAAACCTGTGGAGAAAAACTACTATCGTTGTTGCTCCACTCTCTAAGTTTTTCTGTCCCTACCACCCCCTGAGAATTTATCAAGGTCAAGCTTTGATTTTGAAGGTGTTCTTGCTTTTTTTGTCGGCACCTGGAGGGCAGGACATGTCTTCTGCAGATCTGCAACCTCAGGGCCTGGCATCGTCCCCAGTGCATAGTAACTGTGAAACAGCTTGTTTAGTTCAACTGACTAGAATGATATTCTGCAAAGATGAGCATTCATTCTTTGTTTGATAACAATTGTGTTGCAAGCAAAATAAAAGAATGTCCAATTGCTTTTGGTAAAATCCATTTCGGATCCTTTGAAATGTCTAATTTGTCAGGTCAAAATTGATTACGTAGGAGGCCCTACTGGTATCAATGGCTAACTTGCCTAGCTCCTAACTGAGAGATTGGAGGTCAAGTCCATCCAGATAGGCCACACCTGGGGTCTTCACGAGTCAAAGAAGACTCAGCAATAGCCGTTTCAGTTTTCTGAATCGTGCACTTTTAAAAAGACATTTTACCAATGAGCTAAGATTTACAACTAGAAGCTGACAGCAGGACTATCTAAAAGTTCCCTCAATTCGTGAGGTCCATGTCCGATAAGCCATGCTATTATGTTCACAAACAGGAAGATCTATATGCACACACACCCCCAAGTGGACCAAAGACATTAAGTGTTGATTGTGTTGGTTAAAAAGAAAGAAAAAGGAGAGAGAGTTGCTATGTCATTACCTGGATGATCATTTTCAACAGAATTTTAAATATCCGGCCTGCTCCCAGAGCTACTGCCTCTCTCACGTCAAAGGCTGAGCGGTCTCCTTCCTTCCGCTTTGTTTGCTTTAGTCGAATGCATTGTGTTTCCAGCATAGCCACATCACGATGCTGTTATTTCCACCACATTTTCATATGAAGACTCTAAAAGCGTAACCTTTTTCTGGATAGTAAACCTTGCTCTTTCCTATCGTACGCTCAGAAACATAAGCATTACTTCCAGCGCTGTCCATTCGGAAGGCTTTGCCATGCATACTACTCAGCACCCTGCGTGCATCACGTAGTGCATCATCGTGCTTCCGCCTTTTACTGATAATCGGTTCAGTTTAATTTGGGAAGCAAGGAACTTATCTTTATCTTGGGCTCCCTCTACTGTTTAGGATGCTTATATTCAGCAACAAGGTATTTTTACCAGTTTATTAACAGTCGCTATTTGATGTGTTTTGTTTGGGTCAAGGGCTACTTGGCAGTAACAGCTAGGTAAATCTTTTGGAATATCTACTGTGAGGTCACAGTTTATATCAAAAAGACAGTTTCCGTCCCTCAATATCAAATCCTTCCATTGAGAGAAAGGGACATAAATTAGGATTGCTAAGAACTAAACAAGGTCATCTAGAGTTGCTCATCAAGAGCCCTGGTGGTACAACGGGTAAGCCCTCAGCCACTAACTGAAAGGTCTGTCATTTGAGTCGACCCAGAGGCATCTCAGGAAAAAGACCTGAGGCTCTGTTCCCTACATATAAGAGCCTAGCCATCCCCATAGTACAGTTTGACCCTGTCAGATGAGGTTGTCACTAGTCAAAAAGCCGCGGGATGGCACCTAACAACAATGATGGTGTTCGTACAGTGTGTCAGAAAGCTGGGTTTGAATCCCATGAGTACTGTTAGTCCCTCCCTAGAACCTACTCCCCTCAATTAGACGCAGCAAACGGGATTCTCCTGCTGCACAAGGGCAGCTCCTGCTGGAGGACTTCCCCAGAGTTCAGCGGCCACTCTAGCAGTCACTAAAATGGGCAGCTACAGTGTACATTTTTTAAGAAAGAAAAAAATAAATCAACACCAGACTTTCTCTTAAGAAATCATAACAATTCTAATGTAGGTCCTATTCAAGGAACCGCAATTCATGTTTGAAATGACCTACTAGATCACCTGCGTTCAGTAAGGTTTTTTTAAGGTGACTGGTCTCAAACCCATCCTTCAGAAGGCATGGCGGGTAATTTGGCTGGTATCCAAAGGCAACAACTAACCTAAAAGGCCCTCCTCGGGGACTGGCTGCCCAGCCACGGTTCTGGCTGCAGCAGGCCCCTTCTTCCCTCCCTCAGGATCAGAGGGAGCCATAGGTGAGTTCTACCTGCAGAAGACCTGGAATGATGTCTATTGAACATAGGTCCATCGTTTGTCCTTGATTTTTACCCCCCTTTTTATTCCGAACCAGACTGGGAAGCTCGAATTGACAGCCATGGGCGGGTCTTTTATGTGGACCACGTGAACCGCACGACTACCTGGCAGCGTCCTACAGCGGCAGCCACGCCTGACGGGATGCGGAGATCAGGGTCCATCCAGCAGATGGAGCAACTCAACAGGCGGTTGGTGATCAGTGTGCAATGAGTTCTATGAACCACAGTGAGAAGGGAATGAAAATATAGAAATGTCCTCTTACAGTCTCATGTCCAGATTGTATAAAGAGACTTGAAAGGGGCTACCTTCAAAAAACCCTGTTGATTGAAGGTGCTTGGATTGGTAAAGTTAGACTTTGCTGGCTGGAGAAAAGCTTAGCTTAAAAGGCCATTGAAGGATAAGAAGCCCTGTGTCCTTAACAGCCCAGGCTCAAACACAGGATTCCTTAACCGAGGGCTCATCGGGCTCCAGGGTGCTCACTGATGGTGCCAGTGCTCCATCAACTCTCCAGAGACTATATGCAAAATTATATACGGATGCACATTTTTTCCTTAAGACCAGCCCATTTTCATCCTCAGATTATTACTGAGCTCAAAGCATGAACAGTTAAGAATGTTGAAGATGTCAATTCTATACGAATACTAAAAGCTGCTTGGAGAAAAATGATCACAAATCACCATCTATCCTGACCCCCAAATTGTTATATGCTAAGAAACAATCATTTTCTAAACATTTCATTTTAGAAAACGAAATGTTTAAAAATTATTCTCAGAAAATTGGTTTGTCTAAGCCCTAGAACCTCAATAATGAACTTGTAAAGTTGTTTTGTGTTTTTAACCTGCAGGTGAACCCAAAAATTATCTCCCAGGCTTTAAGCTTGCAGCAAACCTCACCTCCTACATCTTGCTTCTTTAAGGCCAAGTTGATGAGTTTAAGACTCTTTCCATTGTCAGGAACGTAAACTATAGGCTTAGCTTCAATTGTAATTGCATCCACATGCCACCTTGTCTGATTGTCAGGTACTAGAAAGCTAGAGGATGAGTTGAGTGGGATTAGAATAGAAAACTGAGGGTTTGTGTGATAACACATGTCCCATGGAGTAACTGGCTCAACCAGGGAGAAGATAAATGGGCAACTTACATCCTACTAAAAACACATCAACAAAAATAAGACTGCAGGTGAAAATCACCAAAGCATTCTTTCATTGCTTGAACATTTAGAAATGTTTCCTTGCATTTTCTTCCTCAGAAATACTCAACTGCTAACCAGAAGGCCAGCAGTTCAAACCCATCCAGTGACTCCACAGGAGAAAAGATCAGTTGATCTGCTCTCATAAAGATCCCAACCCAAACACCAACCTCTGCTGTAATTGCATCAATCCCAACTCCTAGGGACCCTAAAGCATGGCATAGCACTGCCCCTTAGGTCTCTGAGACTGTACATCTTTACAGGAGCCAAGAGCCGTGTCTTTCCCCTGAAATGGCTACTAGGTTTGAGCCACTGACCTTGTAATTAACAGCCCAACACATAACCACTGCCCTACCAAACCTCCTTCCTATAAAGATTACAGGCTTGAAAACACTGTGAGGCTGTTCTACGTTGTCCTGTATGGTCACTGTGAGTTGGTACACAACAACAACAACAATCCAATGCTTAAGTAACAAGAACTGTAAATGACTGTCATTGGCAATGCAGTGCTCTGTCATCGTCCCTACAAAAACAAACCTTATTAGATGAAGAACTTGTGATAACAGATTATTAGATGTAAACACACCCAGAATCCATGGGAATCCTTTCATGGTGACTGAGACAAAACCGCTTTAACGAATAATGGAGAGGATACCGGCAAATTCATTTCCTATAGACACCAGGTTGAGATTCCATAGACAAGCTCTCTTTTGCCAGAACATATAATCTGGACTTGTTTAGCAGACTAAGAAATAGGGAAGATGATCATCAGGCTACATTTATGAGAGGTGCTGTTTAAAATCATATATACAATGTTTGAAATTAATAATTTATATATATCTGTGTGTGAGAGAGTATGTGTGTGTATAAATACACATGTAGAATCACAGGAAACACTGTGACCTAGGGCAAAAAAAGCATCCATGAAAATTCATGGTCTATCACCTACACACTGGTGGTATAATATAAAAATGGTTGTATAATACAAAAATGAGGCCAATTTCATCTTGAGCGAGACCTCTAACGAGGTTTTTCAGCCTTCGATATGTAAAATCACGTGCCCTCCAGTGGAGCTGAACATGCCAGGAGAGACTGCTAGGCTTTGCTGAAGAAGAAGTTACATTGCGGTGACCGTCTGTACATAAACAGAAAGGAGTTTAACAATTTGAGAAAGTGCTTCTTTCTTGTGAAAAATCCTACTAGGGCAAGTCAGATAACGTCTAGATAAGTATTCAAGATTTTTGATAGTTATCTTTGCTTATGACTTCGAAGCATTTAAGGTATTGCAAAGATTTGGCTTGATTGTTGCAGCCATGTTGTTGCTATTGCTGCGTGCCTCTGAGGCCCTTCTGACTCACAGGGACCTTATCCAGAGATGAAGATTTACCCGATGCAATGGGTGTGTCCTTTCATCTTTTTCCTGCTGCTTCCATGAGCAGTGATTGTGAATCCAAGCAAAATGATATTCTTGAGAGCACCATACGTGTGGAGAAGATTGACGCTATCTAATAGACCGGGTGTGAGATTTGTGTTTTCTTTACATTGAGTCGTCCTCCAAACTGAAGGATGTGGTTCTTGCTCTTCAGCAGCACTTCAGCTCACTTTCAGCAAGCCCGGCTGTGTCATCTGCCTATCAAAAGCTGTTAATAAGCCTTCCTCCAGTCCTGAGGCAATGTTCTTCTTCATATAGTCCAGCTTCTCGGAGTATTTGCTCAGCATACAGATTGCATAAGTTTGGTGAGAAGGCAATCCCGGGGTTATAGTCGCACAACTGCCTCTTGATCCATGTATAGGTTTAGCATGATCACAATGAACTGTTTGGGAATTCCCATTTTTCTCAGGGTAGGTGCCCTCAAATCCTTTAGCATTCACAGTAACCCTCTGTACATCGGGGGAAAGCACTGTCTAGTCTTGTGCCATCTGCACTTCATTACTAGGTTTGTGTCCATTGTTGCAACCACCATGTCAACCCTTCACATTGAGGGTATTTCTCCTTTTCAATGATGCTATGCTTGATCTAAGGAGCCCTAGTGGCACAGAGGTTTAATATTGGCCTAGTAACCACAAGGTCAGCAGTTTGAATCCACCAACCCTTCTTTGCAAGAAAAATGAAGGGTTTTGTTCCCATAAAGATTTATAGCATCAGCAACCCAAAGGTGCAGTACTACACTGTCCTATAGGTCCTCTGTGAGCCAGCATTGACTCAGGAGCAGTGAGTATTCTTCATCAAGCATGCTATCCTTCTCCCAGGATTGGGGACATTGCCAAAGTAGATGAGACCAAGTCTCCCCTTCCTCGATTCTAAGGAGTATTCAGGCTATTCTTTCAATCTTCTGTAGTCCGTGGTATACTTAATATTCTTCACCAAAACCTTATCTTAAATGCATTGATTCTTCTTTGTTCTTCCTTATTCATTGTCCAGTCTTCTCATGTATATAAGGCCATTGAAAATACCGTGACTCGGGTTAGGCACACCTTAGTCTTCAAAGTAACAGCTTTGCTTTTTAAGATTTTAAAGAGGTATTTTTGCAGCAAATATGCCCAATGCAATACTTGTTTTTTGACTGCTGCTTCTATGAGCATTGATTGAGAATCTAAGTAAAATTAGACCTTTAACAACTTCAATCTTCCTCCATTTATCATAATGTTGCTCATTAGTTCATTTGTGAGGATGTTGGTTTTCTTTACATTTATTTTTAATCTAAACGGAAAACTATAGTCTCTGATTTTCATCACTTAGCGCTTCGAGTCCACCTCACATTCAGCAAACAAGGTTGTGTCATCTGCATGCTACAGGTTAGTAACAAGTCTTTTTCCATCTCTGATGCTGCCTTCTTCTTCAAATCCTTCTCAGATTATTTGCTTAGCATACAGATTGAGTAAGTATAGTGAAAGGATACAACCCTGATGCCCACTTTTCCTGATTTTAAACCATTCCATGTTCCCTTACTTGTTTGAATGGTTACCTCTTGATCTATGGACAGGTTTCAAAGGAGCACAATTAAATGGAATGCTCATTCTTTGCAATGTTATCCATAGGTTGCCATGATCCACAAAGCCAAACACCACTGCATAGTCAATAAAACACTAGTACACATCTTTCTGGTATTCTTCGCTTTCAGTCAAGATCCATCTGATGTCAGAAATGAAACCTCTTGTCCCACATCCTCTAATGATTCTAGCTTGAATTTATGGTAATTCCTTGTCAATATACAGCTGCAACTATTTTTTAAATTACCTCCAGCACAATTTTATTTGCATGTGATATTAATGATATTGTTTGGTAAGTTTTGTATCCGTTGGTTCACCTACCTTTGCAATGGGCATGGATAGAAATTTCTTCCCATCAGTTAGCCAGATAGCTATCTTCCAGATTTCTGGGGGTAAGTGAGAGAGTTATATTACCAGGGTCAATTTTAGGGTTTTTTGTTTGTTTGTTTTGATTTTAACAAATCACTTTATTGGGGGCTCTTACAGCTCTTATAAGAACCCAAATATCATGTATCAAGCACATTTGTACATAGGTTGCCATCTTCATTTTCAAAACATTTTCTTTCTATTTGAGCCCTTAGTATCAGCTCATCTTTTTTCTTCTCCCTCCCCCATCCTCCCATCCTCGTGACCCTTGATCATTTATAAATTATTTGTATTTTCATATTTTACGCCATCCTCTGTCTCCCTCACCCACATTTCTGTCGTTTGTCCCCCTGAGGGGGGTGGGTAGGGATAAGGGGGGTTTACGTCAATCATTTCAATTGGTTCCCCCTTTCTCCCCCTTCTCCTCCCACCTTCCCCCTACTCTCATGGTATTACTACTCTCATTATTGTTCCTGAGGGTTTTTTCTGTACTGGATTCCATGTGTCGAGAGCTCTTATCTGCACCAGTGTACATGCTCTGGTCTCACTGGATTTGTTAGTTAGAACTGGGGTCATGATAGTGGGGGCACCATTAAAGAACTAGAGCAATGTTGTGTGTTCCTTCGGTGCTGTACAGCACCTGGCAGGTTTGTTGTGACCCTTCTGTGAGGGATGTCCCATTGTCTGGACATGGGCTTTGGGTCTCCATTCCATACCCCCTTGTTCGCATCGAAATGGTGGTTTGTTTTGGGTCTTCTGATGCCTGATACCTGACCCGTCGATACCTCATGATCACACAGGTTAGTGTGCTTCTTCCATGTGGGCTTTGTTGCTTCTCTGCTAGACGGCCACTTGTTTAACTTCAAGTCTTTAAGACCCCAGACACTATATCTTGTAATAGCTGGGCACCATCAGCTTTCTTTACCACATTAGCTTATGCAGCCATTTGTCTTCAGTGATCGTGTCAGAAAGGTGGGCATCACAGAATGCCAGGTTATTAGAACAAAGTGTTCTTGCATTAAGGGAGGACTTAAATAGAGGCCCAATGTCTGTCTGCAACCTTAGTACTTAACCTTTAACTATATGTACATAAACCCATATCCCTATCACTATATATTAATATATTTATGCATGTACATGCCTATGTTTATACCTCTATAAACGCCTTTTGCCTCCTAGTTCTTTCCTCTAGTTCCTTTTACTTTCCTCCTGTTACACTATCATGTTCGACCTCCATTCGGCTCTATGTACTTCCTCTCAGCTACACTGCACTTCATCAAACCCCACCAGTCATTCTATACCATCCTCACCATCGATTTTAGATCTCCTGTTGTTCCCTTGTCCCTGGGTTTGTTGGCTCCCCCCTCCCTTTCCACCACCTCCTCCTCTCCCCTGACCCCCTGGAACCATCGGTCCCGTTGTTTTCTCCTCAGGGTTATTTATCCTGCCTATCTTAAATAGGTAGACATGAAAAAAAGAAAGAAAAAAATAGTAGCCTATGAATAGTTTCAGGCCGGTCTGCTGACCCTTGTGAATGTTTTCCGATGGGGTCTGCTGCAGCCCCAGCCCTGCCCCCGAGTCTGACGTCTATGTTCAGAATACCTTGGGGAGTCTGTTGCTTTGCTTCCCTTGCTGCTCTGTTGCACTCCCTTTGTGTGACACCCCGGTGTGGGCTGGTCAGAGGGGACACAATCCCCCCACTGTGTCTCTGGTGGTGGTGTTGCCCCCTGGAGCACTGTGGGTCAGTCAGGGGCCATCCAGGGGACATCGTGTCTCATGGTGAGGTCGACTCTAAGGTTCTCTCTGTGCATTGGCCGCTCTGAGCGGGCATGTTGGCCTTAAAGCTTGGTGGGCCAGGCTGCTGTTCTCTTTCGCTCGCTCTCTCTCTCCTCTCTGTTCCCCCCAGGGTCAATTTTCAATAGTCTACCATTAACAGAAGATAACTACAATAAGCATGGTCTCAAAACCCTACAGAATAATATTTTTGTCTTGCATGAAAGAATTTTTTTAATTAGAAGTGAATGGTTAAGAACAAAACATTTGTCTGCACGAGAAGCCCACCAACAAGTGCAAAGTGAGCCCCAGCAGGGTGTGAGCGAGTGTGGAGGGTGGCAGTGACCATGTTAAAACCCAGTCACTTCCTGAACACAGAACACTGTCAAGCTTTTACGGTTGTGCAACAAGTTCCCATTACAGAGCAGTTCCTCATGCAGACGTCCACTTGGTATCTGTCACCTCATTATTCAGACTTAACAAGGAACACCACATGCTCTGTGAACTAACCTGCCCACCCACCCCCACCCACACCCCTGCCAACAATTTTCCACACCATCACCGTTTCTTCCTCTATCATTCTGGGATAGTCTGGTTTTCAGTTGTTTTAGTTCCCAAGGGATAGCGTAACAAACTATCCAAACAAGGGGGCGGGGAGGGGCTTAAAAGAACAGAAAAATTTCATTTTACACCTCTGGAGTCTACAATTCAAATTAGTATTCATCGTGTTGATTTCTTGTCTGAGGGTTCAAAGCGGCTTCGTACATCTCCTGCAGGGGGCTGTCAGCAATTCTCCCTGTCCCTTACGAGGCCGCTGACTTTGCCTTCAGTATAACATGACCGTTCGCCATTTGTCTATATTTGCATTCTCATCTTTTATAAGATACTTCTCCAATGGGATTAGGACCCATCCCACACCCTCTATAACATCCTCTAGTATAATTCATAACTTCTTACATAGTATCATACTATCTTTTCCAACTCCTCCTCTCCACAAACCCAAGGCTTAGTATTATGCCAGTTCAAATAGGACTCAGTACAAAATTGTTTCCAAAATTAACTCTGATGTTTTCAGAATGACCAGAATTCATTAAGCATGTTTTCACAAATAATTATCCAGCAAGCAGAAAATGTAATAGATATTGTTATTATCAATGATCAACTGAAGTTAGATTTTTTAAATGAATTCGTTCCATCGTGAGTGTGCATTCGAAGGTAAATGTCATATCCTCTTGTCTTCAATCCGAAAGACCAACAATGGGCTTGTTGCTGCTGTTGATGTTGCCAGTCACCGTCCAGCTGTCGGCTCCGACGCAGCGCCACCTTACGTGTCACAGAAGGAAGTGCCTGGTTCTGTGCCTTCTTCAGACTGAGGGCCAGGTGACAGTCCATTGCGATACCGACTGTGGCAGTACACCTCAATGCAGGTCCTCTTCACTTTTACCGACCTGCTTCACCAAACGTGCTATTATTCCTTCATCGTGACCGGTCTTTCTTGATGATGTGCTCACAGTAAGAGACCCCAAGTCTCTCTACCCTTGTTTCTCAAGAGTATTGGGCTGCATTTCTTCTAAGATTGATTTGTCTGTTTTGTTTTGGGAAGTCCAAGGCATATTCAGCCTTCTTTGTCAATACTACAGTTCAAATGCATGTTTTCTTCTTCTGTCTTTTTTCTTCACGATCCAGCTTTTTCATCCATATGAGGCCATGGGAAAGACCATGTCAGCCCTTGGCCATCAAAGTAACTTCTTTGCTCGCTGGAACTTTAAAGCAGCCTTTTGCTTGTGGCAGGTTTTCCCAGTGCAAAATGTCATTAGATGTCTCAATGCTGATTGTTGATCCAAGTAGCAGGAATCTATTGACCATTTCCATGTTTCCTTCTTTTATCACGCTGCTCTCTGTAAGCGTTAGAAAACATTTCATCGATACTTGACTGGGAGACTGGCTGGTTCACTAACTGAATAAACCCCTGGAGAAGAAAAGTACCAGAGTCTTTGCTTAAGTGCAACAGAGTCATTTATCTGCCAGCATGCTTTTAGCGTGTGATATATCCACAACTTCTGCCCGACCATATCAATTGCCTGACAAATGAAAATAAGTAGTAGAATTATTATTCTAATTTAAAGTCTTATAATATTAATGTAGATGTTGGTCTTAGACGTATCCCCATTTCACTCAATCCAGGGCACAGTCTCCTTAGTATGATTAATTGCTGTTTGTGTTGATTTTAAAAAGACTACCATGTGATGATTGCTCTAAAAATGAAGTGTACCAAAAAGAAATTGCCGTACTTAAACCCACCCAAGTTCAACAAAACAAAGAAGTCACTTTTCTTGCTAGATGCTTTACCTACCTGTGGGAATTTTAAAACATTTTTTTCCCCTGACATTCAAGACAATTCTCAATTCTTTACAGATTTCTTGACCTATTTGATTCAGAGGCTAACCCCCAAAGTAGTGAACAAGCCACAGTTAACTCATGTCTTTACATTTTCTGATTCATAGGTATCAAAATATCCAACGAACCATTGCCACAGAGAGGTCTGAGGAAGATTCTGGAAGCCAAAGTTGTGAGCAAGTCCCAGCAGGAGGAGGCGGAGGTGGCGGCGCTGGAAGTGACTCTGAGGCTGAATCTTCTCAGTCAACCTTGGGTACTGGAGGAAGGAAGGGTCCCCAGATAGCACCCCAGATGGATGAATGAAATCACGAATGCCCCTCCCTCTGCTTCATGGGATAGGCCTGCAGTCAAGAGTAAAGAGAGCAATGGAATGGACATAGGACCAAAGCGTAGAGAGAGAGGCAAGACCCTACCAGGGATAAGCACAAAGATCACTGTGTCCCATCAGAGTTAGGAAGCGACTGCCATGGCTTTACGAGTCTGTCGACAGAGACATAAATGAATTCGGGGGACTTGGACTCGGTTTACCTCAGTACTTAGCATCAAGGCAACTTTCTGTGACTTCTAATTTCTTGCTAATTATATATATTTGTTGTGTCTTACAGATTTTCGACTTTTAAACAAAAGACACACAAAGAAGTCAATGACTGCTTTCAAAGGCACTACATGACCACACTAGGAATAATTACTTGTTTGTTTTTAGAATAAAATATAACCTCCCCTAAAGGAATAGCAATGAGCCCTGGTGGCACTTTGAGTCATTCAAACCCAACAGTTGGTCCCATCAGAAAAGAGAGGCAACCTGCTTCTGTAAAGACTGACAGTATTGGAAACCTCGTCCGGGGTCGCTCGAGTTGGAATCACCTCTATGGAAGGTGTTTGAATTTGGGCTGGGCTTTGAGGGAACAACCTTGTAGGGAAGCAGGTTTGCCAAGACTGGTGCCTATCTATACCATCTGAGGCCAATTCTTGGTCAAGCACAGTAGGCTTGCACCAAGGGACTGGTCAGGAGGGTGCAAACCAGTAAGCCTACTGTGCTTGACCAAGAAATAAGGTGAGGATATTCCAATGATAGAGGACACTTGCTTCCTGTTTTTTGCCAGTATTGATATAAAATGATCACTGTGATATCATAGTCATTCACTTTATTTGTAAATTTACTTAACTGGCATCAGACTTCAAAGCACAAAGACAGAGTCTAAGCAAAAAGGCACTGTGATTTTCTTTTTAGCAGGCCTTAGCTATCTGTGATAATGCAGGATATTGGACATGCCCATGTAATTTTTCAAGCATACATGCACATTACTACCAATAATCTCTTACTTCTACTCTATTTCAGTAGGACCCACTAAGTAACTAAACTTACTAGTTTAGGTTTTACTCTTAGTCATTTCTTTGTTCTATTTTGAGAGAGCTACAAGGGAGCTAAAAGGAGTTCTTGTGAAAATGAAATTAAAATATAATGAAATTATGGAATTTCATCACAAACCTCGAAGCCCTTTCATATGTTGGTCAAAAATAAGCATCTTTTTTTTTCTATCAAGGAATCCTTGGGTGATGCAAATGATTAATCTCGGGGTACTAAACAAAAGGTTGGTAGTTTGAATTCACTCAGAGATACCCAAGAAGAAAGGCCTGGCAATCCACGTCCTAAAAATTATAGTTATTAGAAACCCAAGGCTCTGACATGTAATTGAAGTCAACTCTACAACAAATGGCTTGGTTTGGGGTTTATTTCCCACATCATTCAGCAAGTTGGCTATTTGAGCTGAGCTCAACTGGGCATTTCCTCTGGACTCTGCCACCTCACACATTTGTCTTGGATCAGCTATGAAATGGGCTGTGGGCTGACTGATCCCTACTCGTGCGGCTTGTCAGCTTCCAGCAAGCTAGCCCAAGCTTTCTCCTGGTGGTAGCAGGTCCCAAGGAGTGGGTGAAAACACACAAACACCCACAGCCTAGGCCGGGACCTGACTCGTGCTATATTCTATTGATTCGAGCAAGGCACAGGTCAGCCAATTCAAAGTCACCTGGCAAATAGATTTGGATACATAGAGGGGAAGAATGGTAACCATTTGTGCAAAAAAAAAAAAAAAAATCCACCCTAGGTATGATTAGTCAACATTAGCAACTTGTCGAGACAAGAAGAAAATGGTCTTAGGATGGAGTTGTTTATAGGTGCTGTCGGGTTCATTCCAACTCATGGCGACACTGGGCCATCCTCACAGTCATTTTATGCTGAAGCCTAACTGAAGTTATGCCAAGACACACTTCAGGAATAATTGTTCTTGAAACGGACACACCGTAAAGTTACACGGCACCTGTCCCTTTGATAACCATGGTCCGTTCTGACCATGTGTGTGAAGGCATGTGTGCCGCCCACGTGGGGAGAGCAAGCCTGTGTTTGAAAACAACGTGTTCTAATGCAGTCTGTCTTTTTGCTTTGCTTTGTCCAGATCTGAGGAGAGAAGGGTCACTTTCTCCCGTCAATTCACAAAAGATCACCTTGCTGCTGCAGTCCCCAGCTGTCAAGTTCATCACCAACCCCGAGTTCTTCACCGTTCTGCATGCCAATTATGTGAGTGCTACCAAACAGAGGGGGCCTGGCCTGCTCGCCTCCTGACCCAGAGCCCCTCTTTGCAAAGTCATATGGTAGATCAGAGAAGGGAGCATCTAACCTGGGGCAAAAAAGGGAAAAGAAAGGGCAGCTTGGTCTACTCGTTACTCTATCTGTGACTTCCCTAAAAAAAAAACTTTAAAAGGCTGGATTGTTTTGTTTTTGTTAGGCGCAAATGAGTGAATGTCAGGGAAAAGGTTTTGGAGACAAATATGTGTGTTCTTTTGATTGAAACGTATTAAAGGAACAAGATTAATAGGTTGTCATATTCTTTTCAGTCTGATCCACTTCCCAAAATAACTTTCACTCTGACATTTAAAAAATTAATTTCTCCTAGAAAAATAGCCACGTTTTCTCTTCAATTAAATCGTTTCTCCACTATCGAGATTAAGTCACGTTTTATTTGATGTCACACGTGTCACTTTTTGGGTTCTGGCTCGGGTTTGGGTTTCATTTCCCTCTTTGGCAGTTTCCAAGAAAGCAATAGCATGGTCTTGCGGCATTCATTCATTCTTCCCTTCGACAAACATTTTCTGCAGTTCGAGCACAGGCCTAAATGCCAGGCCCATAAACACAGATCAGTGTAGGAGCCTCTCATTCTGCAGAGCAACAAATAAGCAGCTCAGTCCAACTTGATAGGGCAGAGCCTGAGTGAACTGATGTAGGAACGGAATATGGGGGAAACGTAAAGTCTTAACACCCAGGGGAAGGAAACAAAGGCAGATACAGGAAGGGAGAGAAATCCGCAGGATTGAGTCTGTAAGGTTGAGCATGGGTGGAGACGAAGTTCCAGGTGGAAGAATGGACATGTTTTAAGCTGTGAGGAGTCCTGTGTGGCTGGAGGATGGGTGATGGTCACGCTGGGTGGAGGGCTGGCGGAGTAAGGAGCAAGGTCATAATGAGGAGTCTGGATATGCTTCCATAAGTAACAGGGAACCAGCAAGCACGTGAGGCATTGCCCTTGCAGGTCAGGCTTATTTTAGGAAGAACTGTCTCTGACAGACGTGTGAAAGAGAAAGAAGGACTACAGGCTGGTCAACCATGCAAGTAAGAGGGGATCGAGGCAGATCTAAGGAAGAGGCTCAGAGAGAGGAGCGGAATGGCTCCATTGACGAGAGATTGCTGAGGCGGAATCCACAGTGTTTGTGACCAGGAGCAGACTACTCAGTTAGCAAGGCAGCAAGTACAGGCTAAGGGTGCTAACTTACTAAACTGTAGTGATGTTATTCACTTCAGATTACAAAAAAAAACAACAAAAAACACACCAATAGGCCTGTGTTGACTTTGCTTACTAGATACTCCATCCCAGTCAGAGACTGATTTGAAAAGAAGCTTTGATTCTACAGGAAAGTCTGTGGGGCTGGTAGAAAGATAAACGCCAGACATACCTAGAAAGAGAATGTCTGATGTGTTTAAAACAAACAACAAAAAAAGTGGAATATCCCACTATAGTTTCACAGGGAGGCACAAATAAGCCCATGCCTACCTTGCTTATGGGGTAACCCACCCCTGTTTGAGAGGACTGTGATGCAGGGCTCAAGAAAGATGCAGGCATTTCTGCTCTGGGTGCCTATGTCAGGTTGTGACTCCATCAACCAATTCCAGTGTCAGGTTGTGACTCCATCAACCAATTCCACTAGTCTGATTGGGCATGAGAAGGTTATAGGGTGGGGGAAGAAGAAGTGAGCTTGAAACAAGCTATTTGAGGAACCTCTAGATAGCCTGTGGTAAGACCTAGCGCTCTGCCTTCCAACTACACATTGATCCATTCATAAGTCTCAAGGGGGTGGCCAGAAGAACATGTGTCAATAACCTGAGCCTGGGTACCCAGGTGGGACCAGGGCCATCAAAAGCAATTGGACCAATCTCTAACTAATATAATCTATGATTTTAATACATACACATGCACATATTGTGCACACACACATGCACATGCCATGGTACACACATACTTGAATACCATAACAATGTCATTCGGGAAAAGGAGAATGGAAACCCCTGAAATTTCCTCGATTTCATCGTATCATCCCCCAACCACTCGATGACACACAGGTTCTTTAATAAGGTGGCAAGCAGGTGCCAGATCTCTGAAACCCAGCCTTTGATCCCTGGGGTCCCTTATCTTGTTTTAAGCAGAGCAGGGTCCAAGCGCAGACATCTGCAGAGGTTTCATGGAAGAAACCGTGGAGAAGAGAATGGCAGAATGTTCTGAGAGGTAGGGCCTGAAGTGAACCAGGTCCCCAGTGTCAGGCTACAGAGGAGCCAGGCAGTGGAACCGCACCCCCTCCCCCCTGTGTGTCTACAATATGTATTTATTATTAAGCAGGTTTCCACCTCAAGGACCATGGTAAATTTCTGTGTGCCAATCACATTCCACCACATTAAGCCGCTGAACCTGTACTTGATCTGTGTTTCTCTAATCTCCCCCTGCGGACCCCAACCTGCATTGAACTGTCTCAGAGTGCCTACCGAGTCTTCACCAGTAGCACCTGCTTAAAGCACATGATCCTGAAAGTCCGGAGGGATGCCCGCAACTTTGAACGCTATCAGCACAACCGAGATTTGGTGAACTTCATCAACATGTTTGCAGACACCCGGCTAGAATTGCCCCGGGGCTGGGAAATCAAAACAGACCAACAGGGAAAGGTGAGTGAAAGTGTGGCCAGGTCACCACAGAAAACCAAGGCAGCTAAACCAAGGCCTCTAAGCCGATTCTGATTCATGGCGCCTCCATGCGGTACGAAGTAGAACGGCTCCATAGGTCGGTCGCCAAGAGCTTATTGGTGGTGTTGGTTGAGTCCATTCCAATGCACAGCGACCCTGGGTACAGCAAAATGAAACTCTACCCAGTCCTGCACCATCCTCACAGTTGTTATCTTTAAGCTCATGAAAACCACAATGCAAACAAAAACGCATTACCAAGAGTTGATGACAACTCATCATGACCTTATAAGACCCGGTAGAACTGCCCCTGTAGGTTTCTGACACTGTACCTGTTAATGCGAGAAGGAAGCCCCATCCTTCTCCTGTAGCGTGGCTGGTAGGTTCAAACTGCTGTCCTTGTGGATTGCAACTCAATGCATAACCGCTCTGCCACAAGCTCCCAATCCTGAGCCCAGGAAGGCAGTTAATTATTAACATCATGTTGCTCAACCTTTACGGCTGCTAACTGAAAGATTAGAGGTTAGAGTCCAATGAGAGGTGCCTAGAAAGGCCTGGAAGGTTACTTTGTAAAACCCACCATTGTATTCAGTATGGAACTTAATTCTACCTTCACAAACATCAAGTCACCACAAGTCGGAATTGACCCTTTGGTAATTGTGTTTTGAACACATGGCTTCTTTTAAACAGTAAGAAGAAGCCACAAAGGGAAAGAGCTGAGATGAACGAAAAAATATCACACACACACACACACAAACAGCTATTGAGGTTGTTTAAGTGCAACCAAAAACCTCATGAAATTTAGGTTCTTGGTTTGGAGATGTAGAGTTAGGGTTTCTTGGAATATCCTAGTCAATTGGCCTAATAACATGGTAAATACTCTGTTCTAGCCCATGAGGTAGTGACTAGGGACATAAAAGCTTACAAGCGCCAATTAGTATCTATTCACCTGGAACAAAAAGATGGAGAGTCAGGTAGAGAAGGAAGGCATGAAATGTGTTAATTGCTCCACGAGCAACTGCTATCTTGGCCTTGACACAAGAACAAGTATTTGGTGCCCAACTACCATTACTGAATATTTTGATCAAGGATTCCATAGAATAATCTTGATCAAAAGGAGGGAAATCTAGAACGGAATTTCAAATTTTCGTGAACTCCAGAAATTCTGGAGTCACACTGTTTAAAAGAACTTTGGAAACGATTGCCCAGTTATAATCTTTAGGCTTTACACCAAAAATATCCCCTAAAGTCTCCTTTGATGATACCAATAATTTGTTTTAACTGGTAAAATATGTCTGCCTTGAGCATTGGGTTCTGTTAGGAATATCTATAGAGCTCAAGGGATGAAGGAGCACTGGTGGAACTATGTGGTTAGTGCTGGGCTTCTAACCACAAGGTTAGCAGTGCAAACCCACCAGTCACCCCATGGAAGAAAGATGAGGCTGTCTGCTCCTATGAAGATTTATAGTCTCAGAAATGCTATGTTGGGTTCCCTGAATGCATGGCAATGAGTTATATATGAGATCAATTGGCAGTAACAATTGGAAAGGTTTGACAGGAATATTAGGGCAGTAAAATATTATTGTAAAGGAAGAAAGTATGTTTTTTATAAAAAGAAAAACAGTAAAGCAGAAAAAACTTGGAATGGTTGTAAGATTGCAATGAAAGTAAAATATAATGGCAAAAGGACAAAGCAGAATGGATGAAAAGGAATGGCACATAAAAATCAAATCACAATATTGGATATGAGTGTGGAACTAGCACAGAAAGTAGGGGAGGGGACCAAATTTCAATCAAAGAAGAAAGCAAAAAGGCTTGAAAGAAACCAAGAGTGAGAGAGAGAACACTCATTTCTTTGTGTTATTGCATATATGTGTATGTCTATGTATGTATGTGTATGTATGATCAAAGATTACAGCCTTCAGTATAGATTACAACTCAATGTAAAAAGCCCCAAATCTTCACAACCAGTAGATAATAGGTAATATTACCAGTAGGTAATATCAAGATAAATAGAGAAAAGTTTGAGGTTGTCAAGGATTTTATTTTGCTTGGATCTACAATCAATGTTCATGGAAGCAGGTGTCAAGCGATCAAACAACTTGTATCATTGGGCAAATATGGTTCACAAGACCTCTTCAGAGTGCTAAAAAGCTGTGAGGTCACTCTGAGTACTACAATGTGCCTGACCCAAGCCATGGTATTTTCAGTTGCCTAATATATATGTGACAATTGGTCATTGAATAAGAAAGATCAAAAAAAGAATCAATATACTGGAGTTGTGGGACTGGAAAAGAATGTTGCAAGTACCATGGCCTGCCAAAGGGACAAATAACTCTGTCTTGGAAGAGGTGCAGCCAGAGTGCTCCTCACAGGAAAGGATGGAAAAACTTTGTCTTACATATTTTGGGTATGTTGTCAGGAGAGACTTGGAGAAGGACATCATGTTTGGTAACGTAGAGGGGCAGCGAAAAAGAGGCAGATTCTCATTGAGATAGATTGACATCTTGACAGGAACAATGGGCTCAAGCTTTGGAATAACTGTGATGGTGGTTCAGGAGTGGGCAGTTTCCTTCTGTTGTACATGGGGTCACTGTGGGTCACTATGGATCAGAATTGGCTCAATTGCACCTAACAGCAACAATAAACCCCATGGGGGCACCGTGACCAATACTTCTTAAACGCAATCCAATACCTCCCAAGCTTAGCCTGGGTTTAGAGACTCAGGACCATAGTCCCCTGGGACAGTTTGGTTCATTGGCATAATAGAGTTCATAAAATTTATGTTCCGCATCCTAATTTGGAGTGGAACAGTGTCTGGATCCTTAAAGGATTGAGAGCAAACACTTAAGATCCAAATATCAATCTATACTCTTCTGGAGCAAAGGAGAACTAAGAAAACTAAAGACTCAAAAAAGTAACCAATCCACAGGACTACTAGCCCTGTCGATTGAAATACAAATGTCAGCCTAACTCTCCTGAGACCAGAACTAAATGGTGTAGATGGGTCAAATAAAGCCAAAAAACTGAACTCACTGCCATCGAGTCAATGCCAACCTATGGCAACCCTATAAGACAGGGGAGAACTGCCCTGGTGAGTTTCTGAGACTGTAACTTTACAGGAGTAGAAAGCCTGAGGGGCAGCTGGTGGTTTTGAACTGCCTGCTTTGTGGATTGCAGCCCAACATATAACCACTAGGCTACCAGGGATCCCTAATGGGCCTTGATAGAAAAACATGGAGCAGAATTCAAACTCTTATACAGTCCAGACTTAATGGATTAAATGCAACGAGAGGACTCCCCTAGACTGTCACTGAGCCTTATACAGAGAGAAATTTAGATCAAGAAAATTGTTTGCATAGTTCTAGAAGTGGGCAAATAAATACAAGTCTAGGCAAGCTAAATGTCTGTAGGTCAGATGTCAAGCTAGAAACTTCTCTTGACTTGAGTAGCTTCAGGGGCTCAGGAACACACTGTTGGCTGCAGAAACAAATGAATACAAGACCAATGGGTCTGGCTTTTGGCTGCAGAGGCAAAGGAATTCAAGTTCAGCCAGTCAAATGATAGGCTGCTGACGACTCCCAGGATAGGCAGGCAATATGCCAGACCCAAATCCAAATAATCATAGGTGAAACGATGAGCCATATGTAAGATCCAGAACCAGGAAAAAAATACAAAAAAAAGGCAATCTTTTCCATAGCTTACACTTACTTTGGAAGCAAGCCATTTCCCCAGGAAATTTCATTTCAACTGTTCGTATCAGGTTGTGATCTGAGTACACTGTTGCACCCACACTAATCTTACAGCTGATTGGTTGCTCATAGAAGATCCTATTAGGGAGTTGATGGCATTGCATCAGATCACATAATAGGAGATTATTAGATCTTACCTGTCAAACCACTGAGAATACTGGCCCAGGCAAATTGACACAAAACCTATCATAATTGGCTTGAGATACGCCTTAAACCTTGAGTCAAAACTAGTTAGCTTTTGGATAAATAAGAGAATGTATTATCAAATAAAGAATATAACTCTCAGTACTATGCCTTGAAAAAAATCATCGATGAAACTAGTAAATGGTCAACAAGTACCACTTCACCACCAGGGCTCCTACAGAAGAGACCAGAATGATGAGCACAGCGCCAATCACTGAATGCTAAGTATAGATATTAATTTAACTAGTTATATTAATACTAATTACATATTAAAAATATGTAATTAAAACAAGTTATCAGGTAGGCAGAATAGATGTACTTATCAAATTATAATGAAATGAATTGAAATAAATCTACACATCCTAGAATTTCTAGAACCCGAGGGTTAAAATAAATAAAATCAAACTGAGGGTAACAAATCATATCGATTTGAAGGCATAGGACTATGGAAGTTAGTTATGGAAGAATAAAAATCAGACATGCTTCAAAACTTTTTATCCATATAATTAAACCATAGAAGCCCATACAGCACCAACTATGGGATGTTAAGGAAAAAAAGGTTGTAGACAAATAAGTACTCATGTGAATATGTGTCCTTCATTTGGGAGAACATTAGGGGAAAGGGTTTTTTCATTTACAAGATTTCAGAGCCTATCAACCCTTCTACCTCTCCTGAAACCACACACATACACACACACACCTGTTCTCCAGATGGATTATAAGTGAAGCCAAATTGCATAGTGGGGAAGCCATAGCAACGCAGGTCTAGAGGTGAGTATTTAAATCAATTAAATGTGCAAATATAAACAATGGCTATTCAAATGTCTTAAAGTGCATTTTTAAACCCTAAATAAAATATGGACATTTTGTCTACTAAAAATAGAGTAAGTGTATGAGAACAGTCAGGATGAGCACACCGGACTAGGCTACCAAGGACAGGAGGGCAGAAAGAGGGAACACAGCGGAGAAGAAGCTCGTGCTAAATTCTTAGCTCAGTAGTCTGTGTGCCATCAGTTCACAAAGGGAGTGAAATTAGAGCACTTGAAAAATAGAGGCTAGCTAAAATTTTTTGACAAGCTTAAAAGGCCATCATTTGAAAAAAGACTTTTCCAAATTCTTAAAAAAAGATCAAATTACACAAAATATAGTTTTAGAACAAAATGACAAAAAAACACAAAGCAACAAAGAACATAGAAATGATAAAAACAAGATAACAAAAGAAAAGCCAAACATAACAGTGATGGCAGCAGGTAGAAACAGTAGAAACTTACCCAGCAAAAGGAAAACACTCAGATTTGGTGGCAAACAGAGCCAGCTTTTATTTTTTTAAAAAAAAATACCTAAGGTATGATTCAGAAAGTTTAAAAATAAGATGGTAAATAATGAGAAAATAACAGAAAAATCAGAAGTAGTGTGTTCATATTATACAATGAATTAAACAGAACACAAAACTCAATGCCATCAAATTGATTCTGACTCGTAGGACAGACAGAGTGGAACTGCACATGGTTTCCAAGACTGGAACTCTAAGCAAATAGAAAGCCTCATCTTTCTCCTTCAGAGCAGCTGGTAGTTTCAAACTGCCGACCACAAGGTTAACAGCCCAACATGTAACCACTACGCCACCGGGAGAATTCAAATTCAGAAGCATGAAATGGAATTGAAGAAAAAATTTACCCTAACCTATGCCACAATTAAAATGAAGCTATAATAACCATATGCTTTATCAACTAAATAACACTGTTATCACTTTATATATTTTAAATCGAACACATATGAAAGGGAATCAAAGAAATGCAATAATAGTTTACAAAATAAAACAGCACTACCATCTCATCAATCTCACCGCATAGTGACTGTAAGTATTCAAGAAAGCAGCAAGTCTCACCTTTCTCCCGAGGAGCAGCCGGTGGGTTTGAACCACCAACCTTACAATTAACAGTTCAACATTTACCTGACAGGGCCATGAGAGCTCCTTTTGCAGTCAAAGTAGGTGGACATATATCTAGTCACTAATTTGACAAAATAAGCCAGGATTTAAATAATATAATCTTGAGTTAATGGAAAACCTGCTGCCATCAAGTTGATTCCACTCATGGAGTGCTTGAGTGGCACAAATGGTTAAGCATTCAATTGTGAACCAAGAAGTTAGAGGTTCACATCTAGCCCCAGGCAATTCAGAAGGAAGCCCTGAGTCATCTACTTTTGAAAACAGTCACTGAAAATTCAAGGGAGCAGGTACGCTCAGACACGTGCTAGTTCACCATGAGTCCGAACAGACCCAAGGATGACTGAGTTTTGTTCTCTTTTAATTTGCTTTATAGTTAAAGTACACTTTTTGTCATGTGAGCATATCTAGTAATAAGACATGGCACAAAGATTTATGCACCAGAGTAGTATAAAGCAATAAAATATCCAAAATGTTGACAATAAAAATACTAAATTTAGGTATTATACATTCCTTCAAACTAAATACCATATTCACTAAAATTCTGCATTAAAATAATGCTATTATAAAACTATAGATTCTGATATGTGTGAAAATGTTTGTAGATTGAAAGAAAAGTGGGTAAAGGGAGACATTGGTCAGTGTAAGATATGAAAAATAATAATTATAAATTATCAAGGGTTTGTGAGGGCGGGAGGGGAAAAATGAGGAGCTGATACCAAGGGCTCAAGTAGAAAGAAAATATTTTGAAAATGATAATGGCAACAAATGTACAAATGTGCTTGACACAATGGATGGATGGATGGATTGTGGTAAAACTTGTACAAACCCCCAATAAAATGATTTACCAAAATAAAAGAAAAATGTGCCAAAATATTTAGGTGGATTTTCTTTTGGCTGTAATATTTAAGGTGATTGTGATGATCATCTTCATACTTATTTGTATTCTTTTGTTTTTTCCTCCATGGAAATATGCTAATCCTGTAATCAAGAAAAACCAAATTAACTTAAACCTGGATTAAAGGTCTACAAATTATTAATAACTAGTATGGCTCTAAAGGAGCCCTGATGGCATAGGGGGTTACACATTGGGTCAAAGCCATAGTCACTCTGAGGAAGAAAGTTGAGACTTTCACTCTTGTAACGACTGACCTTGGAAACCCACAGGGGCAGTGCTATAGAGAAGCTGTGAATCAGAATCAACTCGATACCAGTGAGTTTTTTGAGTTTGAGAATACTGCTATACTCTATCAAAGGCTCTATTTCTCTTGGGTCTCGTGTGAAATGAAGTATAATTACTACTTCATAAACTGCCTGAGCAGTATAGTGTGTCACTGACTAGTACTGCTCTGCTCCCATGCTAAGAACACAGAAGGACGGGCCCAGTCACCCATCTGCCCACATGCGTTTGGAGTGGATAAGGGGAGAGGGGGCCGGAGAGGGAGGAGAATAAACGATGGCTGAGCCCATAGCCCTCCCTTGGGTTATTGCGTTCCTTTGACTACATTCTCATGCGGTGTGCCTTTCTCTGCAGTCCTTTTTTGTAGACCACAACAGTAGAGCAACCACTTTCATCGACCCCCGAATCCCTCTTCAGAATGGCCGTCTTCCCAACCACCTGACCCATCGACAGCACCTGCAGAGGCTCCGAAGTTACAGTGCTGGAGAGGTAATGCCATTCCCCAAGCCTAGTCTTCACACTTACTTGAAGGGAAGTCCCACCTCTTCCTCTCCACTGGTACTGCTTTGTGTAGATGAATGAATGCCAACCTGGGCTATACCGATTCACCTCCCTACACCTATCTCCTTTCTTCTCCTTTTTCACAGCACCGTCATCACTACTAAGAATCTGTCTAGTTTAAAGGAAGCTGAAAATGCAATGCCTCATGCAGTTAGCTGGCAGGCACTATTTGCTAAAGCCTAACAGGCGCGTGTACATTCTTACTGTAAATTCTTATAAGACCATGGACCTGATAGATAACGTGGTTCTCAACCTTCTTAATGCCATGACCCTTTAATACAGTTCCTCCTGTTGTGGTGACCCCCCAATCATAAAATTATTCTCGTTGCTACTTCATAACTGTCATTTGGCTACTGTTAGGAATCGGACAACCCCTGTGAAAGGGTCATTCAATCCCCAAAGGGGTTGCAGACAACAGGTTGCGAACCGCTGTGATAGATCGTGTGTGACTGACTTCAAACATCTACCTTTGCCAAGGAGCCCAGAGGCTTCAAACCTGGAAGAATCGAGAGGGCTACAGGAAAACTGCTCACCTCCTCCTCAGTGCTCTTCCTGCCATTAAATGGTCTTTTTCGTCTTTTTGTAACTTCTTCTTGTGAATTGGGTAAAGGTTTGCAGAGAAGTTTTACATCCAAGAATTAAGACCCATTTTTCACTCGTTCATTGCCATCCCTTCAGTGTGCTATCACTTAGTCCTCGTTCTCATTCGTTCCTAACCCTGCTGAACTTAGTCCTTGGTAAACGCTGCCCATTTGATCTTAAATAAGTGATTATTATAAAGCATGTGCACGTCACTATTGTTATTGCTCCCCTTAGATCGTACCTTTTTATTGTTTGGCTGGAATTGAGCCACAAGGGTAAGTTCAATTCCAGACCTGCAGGGTAACTAAGGACCATAGCCTGGGGGGTTCTACCAGTCTCTATCCAATCAGTACAACTGGCCTCTTTTATGATATTTTGAGTTTGGTTCCACAGTTTTCTCCCACTCCATCTAGGACCTCCAAAGACTTCATATGTCCTTCACCATCCACGGTGACCTTCTGCAGACGTATAAAGGACTGCCCCCCTTCCTTAGGGTCATGTTCACAGTCTTTCTGAGTCTTGCCTCTACTTCCCAACCTTCTTTTCATGGAAGCCATCAGGGCCTTAGGAGATGTGGGGCCTGAGAACATTTTTTTTTAATCAGCTTGTAGAATTGGGTTACACAGAGGTAACATATTACAAAGCTGAGTAAGGTAAAATAGGAATATTTGCAGATATAAGGCCCCACCTTAGAGGATGTTGCAGGAAAAATGGTGACAGTGGCAGTACCCCTGACAGCAATCTCCTCCAGACAGCAAACTTGAGTCTCAGGGAAGAACCTGTGGTTGATGTAGCTGTACCAACTAAAAGGAAAATGTAGCATCAGAAAGAATTTCTTGACTACTCTTCAGGAGTAGTGTTCTTTACAACCTGAGAAATAAGACTCTTCCCAGCCCAGGGCACTCATGGTTTAATTCCAGTGGAATAAAATGATTTTTTTCTTCCAGTTGTCATCTTATGCATTACTGTTTTAGGCTTTTTTCTACATGTACATAAAGTGAGATGTGTAACCTAACACTCTTTAGGTGTAAGGACTGTCTAGATATCAGCCATCCAGCTATCAGGTCCATCAATGACCAAAAACAACATCCCAACTTCTCAGCTCAACCTGTGTACTCCCTTCTCTGATATATTCATAAGCCACAAATAATATTGTCTTAGGACATAGGTAGAGAAATTCAAGAAGTAATCAATTTCAAAAATGGCATTTAGGCTTAATTAAAATATCTAAGATCTTTAAAATCATTAAGGTAGTTTCAGCATTAACACATCGTGCTTAATCACAGATGGTTAAAGAAGCTCAAGGCTCCAGTTAGATTTTCTCTCAATAAAATGAAGATGCTGATTACCTAAAGTAAGAGGAGCCTCCCTAAATATATACATTTCTTACAATTTTTACAAATTAGCTTAAAAATCTGAATATCAAAACCCCTTCTAATTGGAAAGACTAGAATGAGACCACAGATAACACTTGCATTACTTATTCCAAAATATTTAGTTGATAGTGTAAAGTAGTCCAAATTCAATGACAATAAAATCTATAGCCAGAACCTGTATAAGACAGAAACCTGTCAGAGAAAGAAAGCTCAAATCTTTCCTGCTAATAGAGAGCAGTAGAAAAGTGGTAAGCTGCATCTTGTCAAAGGCAGAAAATTTGTGAAACCATCCCATCAAGTGCCAGTTTTCCAGGTGCCATTGTATATTGAGTGACAATATTATGGATAAATGCTATGGTCTTCCACCAAGAACACATTGATTCTAACACATGATAATGAAAAGCACATATTAATGTGCATCTGTCATCCGGGTGGCTCTTTCCTGATACTCCCAAACTCATCCACTTGACAACTGACTGAGTTCTTCAGGTTTTCCAACCCCCGTCCCCATTTGACTGCCCATCCATCCCCTCTTTAGCGTCAGCTCAAATGAAGCCAAAGCTTTCACGCGGGCTCCAAGGGGAGTAACACAGAAAGAGCTGGAAGGCAGGATAGGGATGAGCTTGGGGAGCACGTCAGAAAATAAAAACAAAGACCAGCCTCTAAGAAAATAAATATCTTCTTTCTACTGCTTAGAACACATGACCTCAGGAACGAGGGTGACGAGGGACTTCAGGGTAAAAATACAGGAGAGGTGGCATGGGAAATGATGGTTGTGTTTGCTGTGGTGAGAGTTCGCTCAACAAACACTGATTAAGTGCATGGCCTGCTATGAGCACTGTGGAATGAGAAAAGCAAACATGCTCTCTCGGGCCAAAAGTACACCAAGTTACGGAACAAGAGAAATCCGATGGTGCTCGAGGGCCAAGAGAGAAGTGAGTCCACGTGCTGTAGGAATGTTCTAAAGAGACAATGGAACGCTAGCGTCAAAAAGCAAACAGGTGGATTTTGATAGGTGCAAAGACTATGCACAGACTATGCCAGGGGTCAGAGATAAGCTTTAGAAAGGTCATAGAGAAACAAGGTTCAATATGACCAGAATAGTACGTTTCCATTCACTCTGCCCTGGGTTTTGGAAAGCATTGAATGCCACATGGAAGGGTGGAATTCCACTTTTTATGGACCTCTTGAAGGAATTGGAGAGAAAACGTGATGATTGTTGTTTTTTAAAATGGTCGTTAGAGATCAGTTTGCTCATTTTCTCACCCCAGCAGAAGACTATTTCTGTCTGGAGGGGTGGGTTCAGGGCTCATTGTCATGGGTTCTATTCTTACTCAGGTCATATAGGCATCTGTGCCCTCCCAGTCCAGTAGAAATCCGTATTTTTCAAGAGACTGAAGGCAATCATTAGAAAGGCTGGAGAACTAAAGGTTCTTTCGGAAGTCATGGTCACAATCCAGTTTTAGCTGATAAGCCCCTAAACTGGGGTAACGACGGGGCACAAAGTGAAAGCAAAGGTCCTTCTGGAGGCAGAAGCTTGGGGACCTCAGCAGGTGATAAGCCAAGAGTCCTCTCCAGTTAAGTCAGCACGGCAGGCAGCCGAACGCTGGCTTCACACCGAGGACTGGAAACGTTGCGGTGGAGTGGACTCCAAATCACGGTACTGGAGGGAACTGGATTCAGCAGGGTTCTTTATTGTTGTTGTAAGTACATTATCATGCCTTCTTCAGAGGTGCTTCTGGGTGGACCCAAACCTCCATCGTATTAAAACTTTCAGTTCACTGCAGAATGTGTTCATGGTCGACACCACTCCAGGCCTCTTTCCACAGAGGAGCTATGGTTTGTGTGCCTTGGTGTTGTTCCCTCTGGAGGCCACCATTTGCTCATCTGCAAACAAAGACAAGGGGACTAGGTGACCATAAAGCTGGCTTCAGATCTGTGAGTCTCAGAATCTAGAGGGTTGGACTCTAAGCTTCCAGTATTTGCAACTAAAATAATCATAGTTTCTTAAACAATGTGGAAGTGAGATGAGTAAGAAAGCCAGGGGGAAAAAAGGCAAGTCCATCCAGATAAATTAATGATGTGTGTCAACACTGCACGCTACCCAATTAGAAATGAGGGCTCTATACAGATGGAAATAGGAAGCACAGGAATAATCGGTGGGTTATTTCTATAATCCACTATTTTTCAGCATCTTATATCCCAGGCAATGGGAATTATCTATAGAAGTTTCTTAGGCCACAGCATTGAGCCGAACTTTCTTAACACCTTCATGAGCCATGCTCTTGTGTGCTGCTTTGCTCAACTGTTTCTTTCTGTTCATAAATTCTGCTCAAGATCAAAATCAAGTAAGTCCCTGAAAAAGTAAACATTCCTCTAGTCAGGATCGTAAAAGGTGAGTTTTTCCCTCAAAAATTCAGAAGACACATCTTTTGAATTAGCCTTTACCTTGCCTGGGAAATTTCCAGGCATACTCTTGAAAGTTCTTAAGAAGATTGGAGTATGTGCAAGTGGCCCTTATATGCTATTTGGATCTTCATTTTACTGCTGTGCTGCTTCTGGGTGCAATATTGTGGTACCAATCAAGCAAGCCTTGCTGTTGCTGTTGTTAGTCTCCAAGGCGTCGGCTCCCGTTGACGGGGCTCTTTTGTACAGAATGAAACATTTCCCAGTCTTGTGCCATCTACATGATTGTTAGGATGTTTGGGGTAGATTGTACAAATCCATTTCACTGAGAGTGCTCCACATTGCACTGACCCTCTCTCTACTCTCCTAAGCCTTTGTCTAGCAATGGATTTTTCCTGACAACGTCTCCAAAGTAAGCAAGTCAACAAAAGCTGATCGTTCTCGCTTCAAACAAGGAGTCTGGTTTTATTTCTTCTAAGACTGTTTTTTTTTTAGTTCTTCTGGCAATCCAAAGTAGTTTCAATTCTCTTGGCCAAAACCACAATTTGTATGCACCAATCTCTC